GCATGGAGCAATCAAAGCAAGAAGCAAAATTAACTCCTTAAAATAAAATCTGGACGGATGGCTTTTATCTTGTAGAGCGTCATTGCTCCTAGATCTTTCTTTTTTCTACTTTTTTTCTTGCTTGTTAAACTCCCAGGCCTTTTCCTACTCTACTATGCCATATTTCCCACATGTTTTACCTTTGAATAAACGTAGGCTTGAAAAATCCTACTATATCTATGATCTATACTGGCAAATATTCAAGCTGATTCCAGATATGACTAATCTCATTGCTTCTTCCTGACTTTCATTTCTCCTTGATGCTCCTCTTCCTGTTGTAAAATAGATGTCCTAGGTCCAAGCACCCTCTTTGGACGGTATTCAGTGAGTTTTTAAGTACGATCAGGCAGTACGCGAAATTCTCGCTATCACTTCCCCATTCCAATCTCCTGCTCATCAGGTTTCTTTTAAGAGGATGTCTATAGACTGTCTGATAGTCCGTCTTCTGGTACTCTCCCCATATGGGCCTAGTTTCTACGATGAATTCCATTCATTTGTTTGGCCAATCAGGCACATGTTCATTCGGATATTTCAGATCTTCCCATATTCATTATTCCGCTGTGCTGATTATCCTTCTAGTCTTTCCTATGTACTTTTACTTACAGTCCTTGCAGTTTATGCTGTGACCTCCGATATATGAACTGCGTTCACCCTATTTCGTTTAAAGTAGCTGAATTTTCCCACAATTCTATGAGTAGACCTGACCTTTCCATTCGAATTTGACATATCCTTTCTTCCCAAAAGCTATTCTCATCCATGGTGGACTGCGGTTTCGACTTCGCCTAGGTCTTATTAACACCCCCGGGGTAAGTCGATCTATGACAGTGGAGCGTATTATCCTGACACGTTAAACACTACGCCACATTGCTATGAGTTCCGTTGGCTCATGGGGCAGATGTGACTTTCAAGGAAGGCCAGGCATTTTCCCATATCACACACACCTTTTAAATATAGCAATAGATGACATTAATATTTTTTGTTTTTGAGAAGGTTTTCCAGACTACCAGTAAATCAAATATATGAAACTGTCTTGAAAAACCACATCAAAAACGAAAAATAATTAATGTCTTCGATTGCTGTGGCAGTGTATGTCTGCTTCATAGGCAGTCCCATCACAGGATGTGATGTGGGAAAATGCCTTGCTTTCCTAGAAATTCAGATCTGCCCCGTGTCTTAAGGGCACTGGTGACAATATGACGTAGTGGTTGACATGTCGAGATTATACGCTGCACTGTCATGGTTCAAGTCCCGCTGGGGTTTTGAGTCTGAACCTGCAGTCCATCCCGAATGAGAATAGCTTTTGGGAAGAAAGGCTATGTGAAATTTACTATAAACATCAGCTCTACTCGTATCATTGTGGGAAAATGCATCTACCAGTCCTTCATCACCTTAAACTAAATAGCGTGAACACAGTTCATATATATGAGTTACTGTTAGTCTCGAAAATCTACTCCAAAATGTAAACTCTAGAACCCTCCATTTTGTTACTTTTCAAGTTCTGTGGGCAAACTGATGAAGAAGGTCTTTCTTTACGTCAGGATTGTTTGAACATTACAGTCCATTAATAGTGGCCGTAGCTTCCGAATCAATTCGCCGGAGGTTAGACATACCAATCGTTTTTCCTCTGCTTCCCTTCCCTTGCCTTCCTTTCATAATCCCCATGCCACTATCCGCTCATTATGGTCTGTATGTTGCATTGTATTGTTTCTGCTGGAGATGCGTTGCCAATGGATATCCGATTTAGTTTCTTCTGTTCAGCATCCCAAAACTTAGTATCGGTTAGTCGTAGACTTCTCCGTAGGCTATACTCCTGAGGTATGAAGACCAAGATGGTGTGGCTTTTTGCATGGTCGCAGTTTCCTTTCGTTGTATAGAAGTTGTTTGACAACTGTTTAACACACGTTTGGTCAAAGGATGGGCTTCACTTGTCTCTTTGACGGGTTGTAATATGATGCTACGAATAGCGATACTCACTGACGATGCCGACTACGAGGCCGACTACGATGCCGACGAAACGTCTGGGAATGTACCACGTCTACGGTCCTACTCTGGAAATGATAATGCATACAATGGACTCCGGACTAGGTGCGTTTCTCTAAGTCTTCCTACCAATATGACAGAGTTGCGAAAACAAGGTCAAACAACTTCTATACTCCTGAGTATTCCAATCTTGAATCCGTAAATATGGTGAGACTAGACTAGACATGTGACCAGCCGTTTCTCTGGATTCTCCATGGGCCCTCCACATCCAAGAATGGAAAGTGTCCATTCTATGCCGAATCTATCGAAAAATTGACTTTTTTATTCAGAGCGTTTGAGAAGATCATGAAATTCTCCCATTTTTGCAGATATGAATATCAGGATGGTGAGGCGAAAACGAGGTTAAATGAACACTTCCCATTTTTATTTTTATTTTGACCAGAGTTCAAAGTAAAAGAAGTAGAGGTGTGTTCTTGTTCGCCATAAATCCTATGTGCATTCTCTGTTTGCATTCAACGGCCATACCCTACGAAATGCTTCTTAGAAGCACTCTTTGATAATCTATTCTTCCCAAAAGCTATCACGGTTGGAATAATAGTCTCATCAAAATGCGCGAATATATACAACCATCTCATTAAGTATGTCCATTGGATGCATACAGAGTATGCGCTTAGTAGCAATGGCACACTTCAAAGGAGGTGATTACAATATCAACAATAAGCCTTCTCTTGTTCTAAATGAACTTGACAAACGTGATTTGCCCCTACCTTCCTAATACGATTATCCCAATACGAATGTTATATTTTGTCCATATTTATTTGTGCAAACGTATACTTCTCATTCCACACTTGACTTAATTTTCCTAATAGGATATGCTACGATGACTTCTGCAAGCATTTTACATCCTTGGAAGTGTGCCATTTGGGCCTAGAAAGCCTAGAAAGGGATTCTACGGTGTACGGCAAACGGAGACTGGATGAAGCCTTCTTTGTGGGTGAATGGAAAATCGGGACTTCGGCTGGGGGCTGCGCTAAATTCATGGGTGAGTCGATAACTAATCTAGAAGCAAATCCATGCAAAAGAATTTTTTTCAAAATACTCTAGAATAGGTTTAGGAAATCCTAATCACTTTTATACTATTCTATTTTCATTTACATTTTCCTTATGCAATTATGTTGCGAAAAGGTTTAATGGCATTTTCTGAAGGCATTTACAGTTATCGGGGAAATTTCCCATTTAACTCCTCTTTAAAATTTGTGCAGACTATTATTTTGATCCCATTTTCCACACTATAAAACACTGTATGCTTGTGCCTCTGCGAGATCGACCATTCTGTTTCTAAAAGAAGCACATTCATGAGTAGATATAGCTGAGCCACTATCTCTGAATGAAGCAAGATTGCATCTTAACTATTTAAAGCATAGCTAAAGCTTTACAAATTACTCAGCCATTAAAATAGGGATTATAGTATTTTTTCTTGAGTGAATATGAGAGTCTCCCTTTCCACTTATAATGATCGCATGCGATTTTCAGCATCCTTCTTTGGACTTTTATTCTGGTTTTAAATCCATATTTCACTACTGCCACAACTCCAGAGTTTATATCCGACGATCTAATATCTTGATTTTTTTCTGAATTCGATTAAAAGTTTGACGATCTTGTCCTAACTACCAATCCCCAACTGCTACATAATAATAAATAAACCGATTTATATAGCAAGACTGAAGTCACTAATTTACCAAGTATACCTATGGTGAGCTTCTTCTGAAAGTGCTCTGTACTTTGCTTTACCACATTAGAAGAATTATTGTCCGGGTATACCAGCTAAATTAATAGCTGTCAAGGGATGCCAAGAATAATAGGAAGAAAGATTATTTCTTATTTTGCCCGAGTAATTATTCCAAAGAAATCTAATGATTTTAATAAGATTTTAACATTTTTGCTCAAAAGTAATATATATATTTTTTTTCAATAGTAGATAAGGATTTTTCAGTGGTTGTTATGGGTAGATTAGGTTTTAGAGGAAAAACGATTATCCGTTAATTGATTCAGAAAATCAAGATTTTAGGGAAGATCCCTATGAGGGCCTTAAGATAAAAACTTGGTGAAGGGCTTATAGTGTGTGTAAGCAACGGAGAAATGGAGAAGCCCCATAAGAATCTAGGGCTCACACAACTTACGATCTTTCACAGATAAACAGAGTGAAGACTTTTAAGATTGAAAGTTAATAATAATGGAAGAGTGGCGCATAGGATTACAAGAATATATATTCCGTAATAACTTCATATTGGTTCCTTGAATTGATAGCTCAGCAAATCACTACTGTGGATGAGATTTTGGTAAGTTTTGGTGCAAAATAAGTTTCTGCCAGCATTCCAGTTCATGGAGCAATTCAAGCTCTGACATTTTCCCTATAAGAGCACCTGGAGGGAACCTAAGCAAAATTGTAGTTTTAAGGCCAGTTAATCTATAAATGAGTAGCACATAATTCAGCCTTGACGAAAAATTTTAAGAGTCATTACAAAGAATTGTAATGGGATCTCGTCTAGCTTATATACTGGTCGATAAATGCATATAAAAAATATAGAAATACTCCTTAGTTGTTTGATTTTATTATGATGTTCCAGTTGACGCAGTCCACAAGACAGCCTCTCTCGTCTTGGATGAAAATAAGCGGGGCTTTTGTCCGCCATGTGATAGACATCGCCAGGATTGGAACCCAATCTTGGGGAAGCTTCAATATAGTTAGGGGAACTTTCAGTTCGCATGAAAGTGAAGGAAGAAGAGATTCGTTGATCCATCACACCAGATGAGAATGGATAAATCTGGTTGTACTGCAGCCGTTTAGCTTTTGTACAATATTCATTTTGACGCAGTCCACAAAACTTCCTCCCTCGTTTCGGGTGAAAACGTGCTGAGCTTTCGTCCATCATATGA